TGTGATGAAATTTTGTCTAGATTTGTTTAGTTCAAAATTTAGTCTATTACGCAAATGGTCAATTGAAAATTTAATTATGAATCATTTAGACTGCATGATTTACGTACTTGCTATATAGATACCGTCGATTGCAACTAAGCGGAAACATGTCATGAGAAAACGCGTCCAATTGGCTGACAAACATGATTTGTTTGGACTTCAAACGTCACATGATTTTACTGCAAACATTTGCGTTTCAACTGTCAACTGTCAATATTCCAAATTTAGAAATACATTCATATTGGGCGGGAATTATCTTGCAAACACTAAATCCGTGATTAAATTCGTCTGAATTAAATTCGACATATGAAACAGGCCTTAGTGAAGTTCTAACATACTGTAAATTTGTGAGTTTTGACAAATTCAGTATTGTTTCAGGGCCCGCGGAGCGTATTAGAGAGTGGGGGGGGGGCTAAATCATCAATAAAACCCCCAATTAATTAATTTAGAAAGTTTCATTTAGATTTCTATTTTAATAATTTTGGCTGTCAAAAAAAGTGGGGGGGCTAAAGCCCCCCCAGCCCCCCCGTCTCCGCGGTCCCTGTGTTTGCAATGTTTGTACTAACTTTGTTACGTTTTCGCGGGAAAAATAATTGTAAACCGTCAAATGTTTCCAGCAAAATCATGTAAAGTTTGAAGTCCAAACATCATTATGTTTCATGTCCAATTAGATCGCGTTTTCTCATGACGTGTTTCCGCTTAGTTGCAATCGACGGTATAGCCTCAACCATTGGACTAAACGGCCCAAAAGTGCCAAAACGGCGCTTCCGCATGTGCCCCCAAATTATAAAATATTTACTGATACTGCACTGAAATATATTTGCATTAGCTCAATAGATATAACTAGTTATTGTTCAAGTTACGGTGAAAATTAAAAGTTATTGGCCCTACTCATTTTACCTATTTGAAACAAATTTTTGCCTTTAAAAAGCACTGAACTTTAACGAATATTCAATAAAGCCTTTTCTTAGTTGACGAGTATTTGTGCTCAAGCTAGTCTGCCACACTTCCAAGTTCCAAGTGATCGTTGCCCTTGGAGTGGACGCAAAGTGAGTCCTTGTAAAAAAATCATTTTAATGCCTGAACAAGACTTGCACGAGAGTTGATGCATGGAACTATGGGAGTTTAACGGGATATTATCAGGCTAATTGTAGCGAAACATCTGATCAAGATTTGAACCATCTTAGGGCCTGTTCATATGGGGAAAAGTTACCTCGGTTAGCAAGAAAACATTTCGACTAGCTAAATAATTTCCGGCTGTGACGTAGCACTAGTGTGACGGGAAAGGCGGGAAAAGTTTAAAAACATTAAAATACATTTTAATAACAGAAAAGTTGCTCACACGACAGAAAGTTTTTCCGCTAAGCGGGAAAGTTGTGGCTATGTTGTCAACATGATGCAGCGTTAACAGGGCCTGTTCAGTGTTCATATGGGGAAAAGTTATCCTGGTTAACGAGCATGGGCGTACCGGAAGGAAAAAATTAGGGGGGCGGAAAGAAAATTGCCCGACTTTTCCGGATTCTGCCCGACTAGTACCAAAAAATTTTTTCCGGAAAAATTATTCGAAAAATCACAAAATTTGCCAAAAAAATTGACTCCATTTTAGACAAAATTGACAGAATTTGTCCCATTTTTTTTAATTGCAAACCAAAATTGCCCGACTGTTGATCGAATATTGCCCGACTGCCCAAAAAACTGGGGGGCTACCGCCCCCCCCGCCCCCCCCCCGCCCGGTACGCCTATGTTAACGAGAAAATATAAACAGAAAATTACACGGTGACTTGAAGATATGACTTTTATCTTCTCGTGTTAAAAACAATATTTTACTCACTCGCTGCGCTCGTTTGTAAAATATTGTTTTCACTACTAGAAGATAAAAGTCATATCTTCGCGCCGCCGTGTAACTCCTCTATATATTACATGTTTTGGGCAAACCTGTCATAGTACATTATATTTATATACAGCCTGATACTGGCGAAACAATAGACAAGACAGCCGCGGTTGAGAGATATGTCAACTACCTGAAAAATACAAGCAGAACCTCACGCTGGTCATATTCAGCAAATTTTCTCCCAGTACCGCAGGCTCGCATTTTCAGCGGACTTGCGGGGAAAATTGACACTTGCATTTTTCAAAGAACTGCCCACTTTCCCTAAGATGTCCGCTGACAATACGAGCCCGCACGAGCGGGAGAAATTTTGCTAAATTTGACCAACGTGACCTCGCTTTTTCGAACGGAGACCCTCTGTCGAAAAGTGAGACCTGTTTGAAACGAACGCAGCGTTCTGCACATGAGAAGGTCGAGGCACAGAAAAAGATCTATACAGAAGGGCCACTTACATCGGAAGCATTGAAGTTTCTGTCCTCGCGCATGTCGCATTACGCATGTTGGCCGCCATTTTCCTAGCCAGCAATGACATTTTCTGCCCAAAAACACGCTGTACTGGCTGGCTGCTCCGCCTTCTGGCCAGTAAACTGCATATTTTTGCATAAAAAAAAACAAACGAATCTGCAAACGTGATCGAATCTTGTTATCGTCGCTACCTACACGACGTACGGGCACAGATCGTTCAAGATTTTATAACAAGTAGTGTGTGAACAATAACAGGCCGTGGGCATGTGTGATGGCGAGTTAATCAGATATGCAGAGACATCGAAATTAGTCCTTTATCGCTAAAACTTCGTAAACATGCAGTCAGTAGTTTTCAGGAGGTCGATTAAGTTTTTTTAATTAATATCGATGTGTACTTTCTAATTTTTCCCATGACGTAAAAAAAGAATAATAACAATGACATTAATGTGTCAACAAAATGCAAATTCAAGTTGTAATTAGACAATTATAAGTTGTTAAGGTATACCGATTTGTTATAAACAAGGAAAGACTGGACGTTGACGCAAAATTTATTTTTATTACATTTTATAAGCATGACAATCGTCTCCCCCTCCTCCCCCGCCATTCAATGTTGTTTCAGTGTTGTTGTGCCAGATTTCCAGTTAAAGCCCATTTCCACTCAAGAGAATTTTCCCACGGCCAGATTTCCAGTTAAAGTCAATTTCTACTCAAGAGAATTTTCCCACGGAGAGAAAAACTTGTAAAATGTCAGTTGGACGACACAAATTTTCTGTCGGAAAAAAATTTTGAAGTTGAAAAATTTCAACTTTTAAACAATGATATTTTCACGGAAAATTTTCTGTCCGTGGAAAATTCTCTTGAGTGGAATGCTTGCTGAGCTAACCGCCTCGAGTGGCAGCTAGCTCGATCAGCTATGTATTTTCACCACACACGTTGGAAAAACTACTCAACAACAACATAATTGACAAAATCATTTGCATTTTCCTCCATGTTGTTCCAAGTCACAACATCCGCAGACACTGAGATTGTTTCCTCGCGAGGTGAAAAATATTAAACACGATAGATATTTTCCTCAAGGCCTCGAGAGGTCAAATTCTCACCAAAACTATCCGCACACGAGAGCAACTTGCTGAGCTAGCTGCCACGCGAGGCGGTTAGCTCAATGAGTTGCTCTCATGTGCGGCAGGCTTTAACACCCTGGTTAATTTTCCTGGTTAGCCCAGAAATACCAGGGTTATTTTATCTCACTTCCTATACCACAGTCTGGTTAATGTAACCAGGAATCTGCATGGTTATATTACAGGACATCTTGGTTAAATGATTAACCAGACTTTATACATCCTAGTTACTAACTCGAAAAACACTCTGGATAAAATTTTGGATGGGTTCACTTAGTACTTCTGGTTAAATTTACTGGTCATTCATTGTAACCTTTTCCCAAACATATTGACCAAGACGCTGTGGTTGCAGATTACAGTATTTTAGGTTGGATAAATAACCAGGAGCCACCCAACATACAGTCACTATAAATATACGTTATCAATTGTGAAGATGTAAGTTGTAACCGTGTAATTGCATGCATGGTGTCTTGTTTTCAACATCTGCATGTATATCTATAGAAGATGTTACTATACCCACTTGATTTAAAGGGTATATATGACTCGAAAATTGACGGTGTGATTTTTTAGTCTCATTTGAAAGATCATTGAAAACTGTAGAGTAACTTCTTTGATAGATTTTTATTTTCTTGCTTCGTTTTGAAGATATTTCATTTTGTATGATATGCAAAGGCCAACTTCCTACGTCACAGATGCATAATGATTTAAATTAGCCCTAAAAGTTGTATATCTTTAATACGACTAAACACAATCAGTAGAAAACCTACATGGGTGCTGTTGTGGAGCACAAATCTCAGTCGTGCTCATCTTGAGCGAATTTATTTGATAGTGACAAAATTAGTTTAAAGTCAGTCGTTATGCATGTGTGGCGTAGAAAGTTGGTCCTTTGCATATCATACAAAATGAAATATCTCCAAAACGAAGCAAGAAAACAAAAATCTGCCAAAGAAGTTACTCTACAGTTTTCAATGATCTTTCCGAATTAGACTATATTAACCCATTGAGACGCATTGCAGCCTGATGCACCCTACTTTAGTATTTTACTCTGTCTAACGCCAGACGATTTTACTCGTCAAGGGGAGAGCGCTGGCGCTTAATGGGTTAATAAAATAACACCGTCAATTTTCGAGTCATATGCCCTTACGAAGGGCCTTCGCTCGAAACGTCGAAGATCTCCTTGTATTTTTCAGGTAGTTGTATCCCTATCAATGATCCGCAGATTTCTATTCCGGCATAGCTCGCGTGTAGCAGTTATCTGCATAAGATAATGACAAGCATCTCTTCTCTACAACAGGAAACTATCAGTCAAATATCTCGTTAAAATTTCACAAATTATATCATTAATTTTTAATGATGCCTACCCTCGGTGCGCTGTGACAGAAATTTTCATTCCACTTTAAATAACGATTGAAACGGCGCGTGGGTTATTGTGCGTTTTTAATAAAAATTAAAGCGTTCTTGTCCGATTGTAACCGAAAACGTCTACAAACATGTCTGAGAATTCTACTAATCTTACTGGAATCACAGATAGCCGATATGCACTCATGGCAGCATTTGTTCATGGATTTATTGCGATATTTGGAACCTTAACTAATGCTGTTGTCATGTTGACGTATTTAAAATGGCGTCGAACTATGTTCGAGACGCCTCGCGACCTTTTAATTTTTACTTTGGCCTTGGCAGATTGCATTACGTCGCTTTTCGTTGCGCCTATTGGAATGGCTGCTTCGATTGCAGGAAGGTGGTCATCCGGACGGGCGGGTTGTGTTTGGTATGGATTTGTTTCAACTTGGATGGGGTTGGCATCAATTCTTCAATTGACAGGCATAGCTGCAGAGCGATATTTTACTTTAGCTCACCCAGATCTACGCTGGTCGGGTATATGCAAGAAGTATGCGCGACTGTTCATAGCACTTGCGTGGCTCGTTTCCGGACTCACAAGCACTTGTCCTTTGTTCGGATGGTCCAAGTATGATCTCGAAGGAATAGGTCTTCATTGTTCCATAGTGTGGAGTGCTTCCACTTTGAACTACGGATCATATAGTCTATTTCTCTTGGTTTTCTTCTTTGTAATACCACTGGGCTTGATAATGTACTTCTATACAAATGTTTATTTCGTGGTGCGACGGCTATCAAGTGAAGCGGAATCTTTGTGGGGAGCTGATGACATGGCAACGAGGCAGACTTACATCGCTCAAGTGAAAGTCGCACGACAGCTTGTACTCCTTACAGGAATGTTTTTATTTGCATGGACCCCATATGCAGTGATGTCTTTTATCAGTGTAGCTAACATTATTAAACCGGATAAAAAAACAAGCGTCCTACCCGCGGTGTTTGCTAAAATGTCCTATGTTTACAATCCCCTGGTTTATTTCTTTACTTTTAAGCGATTGAGGAGGAGATCGATACAGCTGTTTAAACGTTCTACCGTGCAGTGGAGGACCAATGATATGTAAACGTTACCATTAATGTTACCATATCTGATGTGTATTTGTAATATATTCCTTTCATCTTGTATCAACTGGAATGGATAGTTGTGAATGTACGCTTCTTTGCAAAAATATCCAATCATTTCAATTGTGCAGAAAAATGCTGTACTTTCCGACCTTTTTTATATTTTTTAAGCCGGTCTTAACTTTTAAACATTATTTATTTATCATTTCCGACATTTCAATAGTCATGCCACCCGTCTTTTTGCAAAAATGTCCAATGCCATGGCCCATGGGAATATTTAAACAGTTTCAGTTGTTTAATTAAGTGCTCCGTGGGCGGGTTGTTCAAAGCTGGTTAGCGCCAATCCTGCGTTAAAATTTTAACCTGGTATTTTCTCAGTTTGTGTATTTCGGCATGTCTATATTTATATTATATTTATATAATAATATTTCTATGAATATGTTTATAAACAAACAAGCGGAGATAAGAAGATTTGGTTAACCTTAAGCTTACCGGCCGGCTTTCGAATATATTTATAAGTATATAATGGCAAAGAAGTCCAACTGTTTGTATATATGCACGCTAATTTGCTCTTTCTTTTTAATATTTTCATTATATATTAGTTCTCGATAATTGTGCGTGTTTCGAAGTCTTAAACGTGTAGAATAGCAAGAATATTTGAGCATAGAATTTGGAAGTATGAATGCTATTGAGTGTATTGTGAACTTTTTCAAAACTTTATTCTTTGTTACGTGCATGTCAGTCATTTACTTTCGGAAACATCCCACCGGGCACACGACGTTGTTTCAACGTTGAAATTTGGTAGAAAAGAGGTTGCGACGTCGACAACCTAATATCTACGTTGCTCTGACGTTGTTTTACAAACATTGGTTCAACAGCAGCCAACAGACGTTGAATTAACGTTCATTCATGGTTAAATGTACGACGTCGATTTGTGAACCAATCTCAACGTTGTTTAATTTTAACGTGGATTCAACGTTGAATTATGGTTGACCAGATTGGCAACCTAATTTCAACGTTGTTTCAACGTCGAAACAGTAACGTCGCCGATCCAATTTGCATAGTCAACCCTTTTTCAACGTCTATCCAACGTCTGGAAGGACATTTCCAACGTTGATTCAACGTTGGATCAACGTCATTTTGCCCGCTGGGATATCACTATCAGTGTTTTACTATACATCCAGACTAATTACATGTACGTTGTTGCAGTAATTGTAGCGCCACATTGCGATTTTGTTCTTCTGATGCGCACGCATGGATGTGAACGAGAGAACGAGTTATGAATGTTCAGTGATTTATAGGTGCATGAAAAATTTCATAACTCAAACTCGTTCACGTGCATCAGAAGGGGAAAATCGCACTAGAAATTGCAGGAAAATTTGCAAGCGTAAACAGACTAAATGCGATTGGATGGATGTGAGACGCACGCAGTTAACGGTCATAACGACAAAGCGCGGTGAGTATAATGGTTTAGCGCAACGCCTTTGTTCATTATGTAAATTCCTTAACTGTCCTCTAACTGCTGTCATTATGGAAGACCTGTCACCTGTAGTTGAGTGTGTATAAAGTTTCACTCGCGTTTGACTCTCGTTAACTCTCATCAATATAGTTCAAGTTTGTCGAGAGTTGATAAGGGTTGTTTTTGTTCTTTCGATCGATAATATCCAGTCAACTCTCATTTCACGTTTGGCTGGAACATGAAAATTGAACACACTTTCACGCAAACCCTCGCTTGCCAACTCTTATCAACTCTTATCCTTGTTCATACTTGATATGACCAGGCTTAACTAAAAGTAAACGTGGTACTGATTAAGCTTTCCTGCAATAGATCAACAAACATAGAACTTACCACAAAAACAAATGTATTATATTTATGGTAATGTAAACCTGCATGAAGTTACCGGCTTCAAATATTACTCGAGTAATGTAAAGACTCTCCATGCAAAGGTTTTTTATATTAATTATTACTCAAACCCAAAAAATTAAAAGTCGTTCTTCTTATTTTATTGAATTTTACTGTTATAAGCCATTTTAACAAATACAAGTTTAGTACAACAAGTCATTCTTTCGGTGCTGTATTTTTCAAACCTGAAAAAAATTAATAGAACAATATTAAGTTTCTGCACTTTTTTCTGTGCTCGAGCATGGAAAACTGAAAAACGAGATGTTTTCTACAAACATAAGAACAAATATGTTTTGACAATACCTTGCATCTTTAGTCTTCATCCTTGTTTCCAGGGCATATTCCATCGAGGAAATGAATGTCATCAATGGCTATGCCACCTTGGTGACTTTCTTCACGGATACCTTCAAATACAACCTGACAGAAGAAATTTAACATGAAGAATATAGACGTATGTAACTACATATAAATATCAAGATTTTGGGCATTCTACTCGACAGAACCAAATATGTTGAAAAAAGTTTGTAGATAGAAATTTCCATGCGGTGTAAATTTTATACATTTCTTAAACCTAAGCAGGATCTTCGAAAAATGCTTACCATGCTACTGTATACTACTATAGCAGCGGGTTTCCCTGACCCGTGGAGAAGGTGGTGGTCAATTGGCAGTGAACTGCCTAGGTAAATTTCACCACAAATGCATCGGTAAGATAAAAACTGACAGAAGAAGTTTATATAACCTCATAAAGATATAGAGAATAATACAGGGTGCGGGAAAATACCAGATTTATTTCGAGTGTTGAACATGATATCTCACTCGTTCGCGTAATACGAGAAATAAATCTGGTATTTCCAAGCATCCATGTATTTTTCTGTTTATTATATAAAGGACAGTCTTTGAAAAGCGATAATTTTTACAGAAAAGCGATAATTGAAAAGCGATAATTTTCACATGTGAAATTATCATAAATAATCTCACATCAGTTTTGTCTGTGCTCGAAATCTCTATAAAGCACTATACTTCATATAATAAAAAAGGTAAACAACACCGCGTATATACTGTATGTACTGTACACAAATCACTGAGCACTGCCACTAGATTAATTAAGAGACACGTCACAGAGTCTTAATTGTTTGCTATATCCAGCATGCTTCCCGAAGGTGGGAAAACTAGTAAATTATATATTGTTTCCGTATCATAAATCACACTTATTTCTGACTTTCTTCATTGGAAACATTTCTTCCCGAATAGCAGAATTTGTTTCCGCAATAATGTTCCTGACTGGAAAAGCGATGAAGCATTCGAGGAGCCATAACAATTTTTCCTGATTTATTAATTAAGAACATTGAGCTGTGAATAAAAGGAAATTGCAAGATCACTGATAGGTTTTTGGCATTGGAAGCAGTTGTATTTGAGCTTTGTGCCACATATCTCCCTCCTATTCTTACTGAAGACAAGATCGTTGTCCAACCGGCTTGTTTAATGTGGACATTGAACTCTTCAATATGCTTTCCAAGCATGTGATAGTAAAAGAAGGCAGAACATTGATTGGCAATTGACGCTGGGTATGAATCTGCCTGGACGTTCTAGAAAGGCTACATCACCATGCATATACTCTACTAGGGTCTATTCCATAGGGCCTTCTCTCGAAACGTCGAAGTTCTCCTTCTGAGGTAGTTGTATCCTTATCTGAATTCGCAGATTTCTATTCCATAGCTCGCGTGTAGCAGTTATCTACATAGGATAATGACAAGCATCTCTATACAACAGGAAACTACTCAGTCAAATATCTCGTTAAAATTTCACAAATAAAATAATTAATTTTTCATGACGCACACCCTCGGTGCGCTGTGACAAAAATTTTTGTTCCACTTTAAATAACGATTGACACGGCGCGTGGGTTATTGTACCTTTAAAGAAAAAGTGTTTTTGTGCGATTGTAACCGAAAACATCTACAAACATGTCTGAGAATTCTACTAATTTTACTGGAATCACAGATAGTCGATATGCACTCATGGCAGCATTTGTTCATGGATTTATTGCGATATTTGGAACCTTAACTAATGCTGTTGTCATGTTGACGTATTTAAAATGGCGTCGAACTATGTTCGAGACGCCTCGCGACCTTTTAATTTTTACTTTGGCCTTGGCAGATTGTATTACGTCGCTTTTCGTCGCGCCTATTGGAATGGCTGCTTCGATTGCAGGAAGGTGGTCATCCGGACGGGCGGGTTGTGTTTGGTATGGATTTGTTTCAACTTGGACGGGGTTGACATCAATTCTTCAGTTGACAGGCATAGCTGCAGAGCGATATTTTACTTTAGCTCACCCAGATCTACACTGGTCAAGTATATGCAAGAAGTATGCGCGATTGTTTATAGCACTTGCGTGGCTCGTTTCCGGACTCACAAGCACTTGTCCTTTGTTCGGATGGTCCAAGTATGATCTCGAAGGAATAGGTCTTCATTGTTCCATAGTGTGGAGTGCTTCCACTTTGAACTATGGATCATATAGTCTATTTCTCTTGGTTTTCTTCTTTGTAATACCACTGGGCTTGATAATGTACTTCTATACAAATGTTTATTTTGTGGTGCGACGGCTATCAAGTGACGCGGAATCTTTGTGGGGAGCTGATGACATGGCAACGAGGCAGACTTACATCGCTCAAGTGAAAGTCGCACGACAGCTTGTACTCCTTACAGGAATGTTTTTATTTGCATGGACCCCATATGCAGTGATGTCTTTTATCAGTGTAGCTAACATTATTAAACCAGATAAAAAAACAAGCGTCCTACCCGCGGTGTTTGCTAAAATGTCCTATGTTTACAATCCTCTGGTTTATTTTTTTACTTTTAAGCGATTGAGGAGGAGATCAATACAGCTGTTTAAACGTTCTACCTTGCAGTAGAGGATCAAAATAATGGTTTATGCTCATATTGTAGAATATAGTGTTTTTATACCTTTTGATCTAATTCGTTAAGTACATCATAGTATCCCGTTTTATGTATAACCCTTGTTTTTGCACTTAAAAATGCTTAAATTGAAGTTGTTTAAAATTTATAAATAAAGATGACAAAGAAATGTCTATCATAAACGTTTCCATTAATGTTATCAGATCTGATGTGTGTTTTTAATATATTCCTTTCATCTGCAGTCAACTATAGATAGTCGTTGACTAGTTGTGAATGTACGCTTTTTTAAAAAATATCCAATCATTTCAACGGTTCAGAAGAGAATGCTGTAATTTCCGACGTTTTTATATTTCTGAAGCCGGTTTTAACTTTTAAACATATTATTTATTTATCATTTTGATCGATAGTTATGCCACCCGGCTTTTTTGCAAAAAAATGTCCAATGCCATGGCAATGTTTACTCGTTTTCGAGCTTGTCTATGTTTATAGCTGACAAGATTTGTAGAAAAATAGTTCTATGTTTATAAACAAACGTCAAGCTGATAAGAAAATTGCTTTCAAGATTGGTTATAACTTAGGAGTTAAGCTTACCGACCGGCTTTGCCCCCTGCACATAATGGGCAAAGAAGTGCTGAAGTGCAACTGTTCAGGTATATATGCATGATGCCAATTTGCTCTTTCTCATTAATTTTTTCAACACGTTAGTTGTGTAACAACTCGATGAATTTTGGCTATTAGTAAAACACGGAGCACGGAGCACACGGAGCACGGAGTACGGAGCACACGGAGCACGGAGCACACGGAGCACGGAGCACACGAACTACGGAGCAGTAGAAAAACGAAAATCCTTTATAATAAAATACACTGTTTACTACAAATTTTTATTACAAATTTTTGTTCTTATTAATAAAGTTTTTCGCGTTTTACACGTTGAGGAAGTAGAAAAATGGGGCTTTTACTGCACATATGATGCAAAACTGCCAAAAGCCATAGTATTTAAAATAGGATTGTGCCTGTGAAACTCGTCACATATCTATCAAGCTTATGAGTTATGTAGTTATATCAGTATATTCCGATGGCCAACGCATTAAGAAACACTTAGAGAACAGCCGATATATTTCGTTACCCCTGCCAAAAATTAGCCAAGTACTCATCTTTCAATGTAG